AAAGAAAGCATATAGATGGCAACTGTAAAACACTACCATGAAGAGAAGGCAGTTTAAAATTATTTAATTATCTTTATGAACTTGAGGGATTCCCAATACTTGCATCTCTGTTTGCCTGTACATGGATGCTAAGTTGCTTCAGTCATGCTCAACTCTTGGTGACCCCATGGACCATAGCCTGCCAGGCTCCTCTGTCCATGGGATTCTCCAGGCAAGAATATTGGAGTAGGTTGCCATGGCCTTCTCCACGGGATCTTCCCAACTCAGGGATAGAACCCACATTTCTTTACGTCTCCTGCATGTGCAGGCAGGTTCTTTACCACTAGTGCCACTGGGAAACCCTTGTTTGTCTACTATTGGGTTATCAAATGGTATAGAAACTTCAAAGCTTGTATTACTTTAAGTGAAGAAAAATAGTTCTTATTACCTAAATTTTAAATGACTGTAATTGATCAGGGTCAATAGGTTGGTGAGCTGGAGAGTTGTATGAATGCAACTGTCCTCAGGAAATTCAAAACAGAAAGCACTCTAAGAAAAAAAGCCTTCACTCTTATGGATGGGCATTATATGGAGCCCCACGTAGAGGTCCCAAGAACCCTCTGATGTCACTTTCACTCAACATGTGCATGTCTCCAACTCTAACAAAGGAAAGAGCTCTCTCACATGAATGAGAAGTGGCCAGGTTCTCTATCTTGTCTGATGTTTTAAAACAATCACCTGAGTAACCCATAGTAAATTCACAGGAGTATTTTTTAATCATTTTTTTCTTCTTCTTTTGAAAACATCTTCAACAAAATCCTAGATCGTTTCAGGAAGACAGGATAGTATTTACACAGCAGATATAAACAGAAATAGGGTTTCTCAAACTAATAGGTGAATTTGCTCCCCTCTTTCCAAGCTGCAAGTCAGGGAAAGGAAGGCCTAGTGACAGTAAGAGAAGAGTTTGCTCAATAATGTGAGCCATGAGTTAAAAACGGCATCAATGTCTGAGTGGCTAACTTGGGATAGAGTAAAGACTTGGCATAACTCCAGAGACGGGAAGTACAGACTGACTAAACAGACACACACCCAGTAAGATTACCTCCAAATATATCTTCTTACTTCATAAGGATCATAAAGAATGTTTTCATTTAAATAGTTCCAAGATTGCTATCACAAGATGAGTACCTATGACATTACTCACATCACTAGCTGGATATGCCCCAACTAAATATATTTAGAGAAGAGAAATAATACTGCAGAACCATGGAGCAAGACCAGATTGTGAATATTTTTAAGTACATAGTAAGGAAGTCTTCATGAACTCTAATAAACACTGGAGAGAGGAGACAGATGAATGGAAACTATGAATAAAATTCATAGAAAATTATAACAAGGAGCTGACATCACCTTTTAGACCCCTGTCAATCCTTTTACTAATTAGAAAATCCCTCAAATTAGATTTTGCTCCCATATCACTGTTTAATAAAGCCAAGAGAGATTACATGCCAAAGGTAGACAGTAAAATGATTACTACAACAGATTTTAACCAGGGAAGTACTCTTTTTAGCCCTCCACTGATTGGATCCCACAGTCTATCAAATTAAATGATACTAAAATGATTTACAGAAGACACCAACTTCAACAGCCAGTCAGATTAAAAGGCAGTGAGTGCACATAACTACCTTCATTACTCAGATGTGTATCTTGTCTGAAACCTCAGTGCAGCGTTTATACCCAATTTAAACTATCTGAAATGTCAGTACACTGCCAGTTGGGAGAAAACTATAATGAGCTCATTTCCTCCAACTCTTTGATATTCCAGAATGCCAATTCAGACTACTACCAAAGCATAAAAGGCTGCTGACATTGCTAGATAAAATAGTTAGAAAACTCTAATGGTGATAATGAACTAGGATGTCTAGAGATTTTTAAAGAGGCCATATGCAGACCCCATATTTCATAAGAATTGGTCATTTTTCTGACAATGAACTAAACAGAAGTCAGCCTTTTCCTATGGAATATTTTAAAAATCTGAATTCCTTTTTTAAATCATATTTCAGCTAAAATTTGATATCTCAGATGGGTAAAATATTAGCAGAGACAGACAGCCTAATACATTTTGTTCCTGTTGTTTAGTCTCTCAGTCATGTCCGACTCTTTTGCAACCCCATTGACTGTAGACCACCAGGCTCCTCTGTCCATGGCATTCTCCAGGTAAGAATACTGGAGTAACTTGCCATTTCCCTCTCCAGGCGATCTTCTTGACCCAGGAATTGAACCCACATCTCCTGCACTGGAAAGGGGATTCTTTACCACTGAGCCACCTGGGAAGCCCCTGCTATATTTACCACTAATTTAAAAGTCAAGGTTTATAATACCAGGCTTCTGCGCAGCAGCTTTTACTTTCCTCTTAGAAACTACAACTATTCAGGATGATATGATCAAACAACGATGCTTAATCATTTTGCAGACCAACCAGCTAGGCTTTTCTTTAGTTATAAATTCACACAGAATATAGTTACCTGGACTCTTTTTCAACACTGGATCTATTAGATTAAAATGCATTCATTAACCAGGGTTATAACCAATGAAATTCACCAGTAAGAGTTTTTTTGTTTTTTTTTTTTTATACAAACATCATGTAGTACTTTGGGATCTCATCTTAAACTAAAATTGCTGATTACCACAGTTAAATATTTACTTACACTACTTTTGGGAATATTCATTTAAAGAATACTGGGTACTAAATAGATGGACTACTTATTTGGTAATGTACAAAACCCCAAATTGATGTCACTTCAATTAGAAAACAAAGAATGAGCTTCTGGAGGCTGTTAATTTAAATGACATTTTTAAAAACCAATGTATCTGTCTCTAAACATGCATCCAAATGTATGCTGTGGCCATGAAGGTAGAACTATGTATTTAATCTAATAATGCTGCTTGTCATCAAAACAGTTGTTTTTTTTTTTTTAATCAACTCTGAATATCCTCACTGATGACAATCTACTCAAATTGGATATAGTTTTTGGAAAGCACCTCAAGTAAATCAGAGCCCAGGCTGGTACATAAATTGCATTTTAAATAAAACACTTAAGTGTCACTACAAGCATGTTTAATGACCTAGTTCTGGAAAGTGATGCACCCAAAAGGGAGATCCCTTAAAGTGTTGAGTAATAATTCATCACTGGAACTATAAAACCACAAAGTGAGCTCTTTTAAAAGATCACCTATTTGGGTTGTTAGACGTGCACTCCTAAGTCTAAAAACAACTCTGGGCTCCATAGGTCTGCCTCCTACATAAAACCAACTACCCCAATCCTGACTTACAGGGCTTGCAATTGACATCAGTTATTTTTGCAGCAAGCTTCTAAATAGTGTATACTCATAGCTAAGGTTTCAGATCACATGTGTCTAACAGCCATTTTTTTCCCTCCATCTTCTGAACACATTAAAATATATATAATTTGCAAACCAAGATAAAGTAATTTCCTTTGAATGATCAATTGAGCTGACCACATAGCCTAACCAAGATTAAACACTATTTGGCTACAACAACTCTGAATGTAGCATCAGAAAAGGACAAGAAACCTCCCTTAAACTTTCCTTGTGGCCCTTGTTCATATAACTGTCCTACTCTCTATTGTGCAGAATTACATGAAATGGACATTTTCTGTAGGTCATTGATGGTTGAATATCAACACTTAATAAGGTTCAACTTAACAACACTGCTCGAAGACAAAGAAGTTGGAACACCTACCAACAGAGCAGGTGAGAGACTTTTATCTTCATGGCCATCTACCTAGTAATAACTTCTATGTACATAAAGTTTGATAGCTTATAGAAACCTTGATATATGTATTGGGTTGGCCTAAAATTTTGTTAAGCTTGTTTGGGTTTTTCTGTAAGATGCTATGGAAAACCCAACCAAACTTTTTGGCCAACCCAATATTACGGGAACTTTGTGAATTAGGCAGATCAGATGCTCTGACCTCCACTTTATAGATGAGAAAATAAAGCTCAGGTATTGTCACTTGCTCAAATGTCTGAAAATATGAAGCAAGGAATCAAACCTAGGCCACATAACTCCTGATCCTTGTTGTAAACAACCTTCCTGTAAATGGATAAACGAAATCATCTAAGTCTGAGCACATACACTCCCAGTGCATGCTTGTGGACAGATTCCATAAATACTTATGTCATAAGTGTCTAGATGGGAATACTTAAGTGCTTTCAAAAATGTGAGTACATACTTAAGTACATTCTTACACTTTATTTGCTCACATCTGCAATCTGCACCCTCACCCAGGAGTTCGTCCTTCCATTCCACAGCCTGCTTGCCCCTCATTCTCAAAGGTCACCACCTGGCAAATTGTACTCTGCCTCCACGGGGGAACAAAATATTACATTAAACATACACTTTAGGCACCATACCATCAATCATGGCACAAGCCTCTTAGGATAACCAAAGCTTCAGATGTGATTCTTAATAACATCATATTAATTGAATGAATGGCTGACCCACAACTCAAATTGATTGTGGTAATGTAATGACTCCACTTAAAAGCTCAAAGAAGAAATTTGCTACTAAATTTGTTCTATAATCATCACTATGTACTGATGAAGGAAACAAGTTACATATTAAATTCTAAACCAAGCAACTCCATATAGTAAAATACTCACAGCAAGTGAGAGCTGATGGTATGTGATAAGGCTTTCTCCTCAACCACCCACCACTACTGGCCCATTAAGCAATAATAATCTTTCTTATTTACTAATTTAAAATAATATATACTTCACTAATGCTATCTTTAGATACAGAGACTGATAACCCCTTCCTACTGTCTGGTACTGTGGGGGTGTCAATTTGCAGGGATCAAATCTCACTTGTTACCAGGAAAACATGTCCGTGACTATAGTGGCCATGGAGTGGGGGATAAGACATCTCATAACATGCATGTGTGCACACACACACACCTTTGCTTTTGAATTATTTTTTAAATGCTTTAAATACTTACTCACACAACAGAACACCATTCTCTAGAGAGGCTCGAAAATCCTTTGTTTCAAAATTCTTCTCTGTTACTGCCTGAAAGACAGATTTGGGGATTAATTTTCTCTTAATCAGGAATAATACACAAGTCAAATTCAGTATCAGATTAATTAACAGGCATCCAAAGTCATACTTAAAGAATGTGCAGATATCACCAAAAGTTGTTCCACATAGGAAACTGTAAGTGCATTTCTATGTTACAAAGAGAGCGGTTAACCACTTTAGTATGAACAAATAGAAAAAACCACAGCAAGTGTTGTCTATAATACAACCATTTTATGCAGGATAAACAAAACTTAGAAGCTTTATTTCTAGCATATTTTCTACTTTTAAAAAGCCTAAAAGCAATCTACCCTACTAAGGGTAAATAAAGCCAAATTAAGGTATAACCTTGAAATATCAACTATATACACACATCATTAATTTCAATTCCACTCTGAAATCCCTCAAGTTTCATTACAAAGCTGTATAGCAGAGGGCATGACTATCCTTAAACATCCTCATGAAATGTCCCTGATTTGTGTAAAGAGCTATTTACTGCAATATCCTAAGAAGAAAATCATTAAATCCTGACAACGACAGACAAAAGAGAGAGGGAATATGGTATTACTTTAAACAGACAAGTCCACACTTAGGGCTCTTATATATGAGCAGGCCATGCCTATGGTTACCAACAACGTTCTTAGTGAAACTGCTGAGAAAACGTCTACCAATTCTATCTTCCTGTCGTTTGAGCGTGAGTGACTGCGAGGAAGGGGAATCCCATAGAGAGACTGTTCAGTTGCTAAGTCGTGTCTGACTCTTGAGACTCCATGAATGAAGCATGCCAGGCTTCTCTGTCCTTCACTATCTCCTGGAGTTTGCTCAGATTCATGTTCATAGAGTCAGTGCTATCTAACCATCGCATTCTCTGCTGCCCCCTTTTCCTTTTGCCTTCAATCGTTCCCAACATCAGGGTCTTTTCCCTGGTCAGCTCTTGGCATCAGGTGATCAAAGTATTGGAGCTTCAGCATCAGTCTATGCGTGCTAAGTCACTTCAGTGGTGTTCAACTCTTTGCAACCCTGAGGACTGCAACCTACCAGGCTCCTCTGTCCATGGGATTCTCAAGGCAAGAATACTAGAGTAGGTTGCCATTTCCGCCACTAGGGGGTCATCCCAACCCCAGGGATCGAACCTGTTTCTATTATGTCTCCTTCATTGGCAGGCAGGTTCTTTACCACTAGCGCCACCTAGGAAGATCAGCAACAGTCCTTCCAATGAATATTCAGGGTTGATTTCCTTTAGGATGGACTGGTTGGATCTCCTTGCAGTCCAAGGGACTCTCAAGAGTCTTCTCCAACACCACACTTCAAAGGCATCAATTCAAAAACATTGGGACAACAGTAGAATAAAAAATGGAAGCCATTCAGGGAAGGCTGCTCCACAGACCTCCGAGGTCTAGGACCCCCGCCAAGGGTGTTGGCAGATGCACCACAGCAGCTGGGACAGCAGTGACCCTAGAGATGGAGCCACCACCCCCAAGCAGAGGCCTTGCTCTACCACCACTTCAGGAAGAAATCCAATCTCCGAAGCCTGATTGGAAAGTCACTAATCTTAAACCCTCAGTGAACTATAAAGCTCCTGCTGTCCTTACTCACCACTGACAGCTTTACAGTCCACTTCCAGTCCCTGTATGTCTTCTGTATCTTTTTCACAACACCCAGGAGTGCCATCACTACTCATAACAATGGGTAACTGACAAAATAATGGTTCCGTCTAGTATTAAAGGTAGTTTCTCATAAGCTGGTTCTATAAATAAGGACAGGAGCCTGGGCAAGAAGGTGACACATTCAGCTGCAGGAAGTAGCAGATCCTTTCATACAAGGGCATTCTCTAAGAAGGGATACATCACTGCATGAATTAAACATTTGCTGAGTGTCTCCGTTAGATGCACTTACCTGGATATTGGGTAGAGACCTTAAAAAAAAATGCAAGGAGCTCACAGCCACAGAAATAAAACACAAAGTTTAAAAGTGCAGTAAAATATATCCAAATGGAATGGTACATTACTTCAGGAGTAACCTCAAGTGTTTCATAGTTATCCCAGCTAACCCATGAGGCACAAACTCTTCTGAATTTCCCCAAATAGATCCAAAAAACTCAAAGTGAACACTGATTGCAGCTAGTGAAAACATAGTAACATCTCATTTATCTGGAAACTCCTGCGTGCGTGCTAAGGTGCTTCAGTCGTGTCCAACTCTTTGCGACCCTATAAACTATGGCCTGCCAGGCTCCTCTGTCCACGGGATTCTCCAGGCAAGAACACTGGAGTGGGTTGCCATACCCTCCTCCAGGGGGTCTTCCTAACCCAGGGACCAAACCCACAGTCTCTTACATCTCCTGTATTGGCAGGCGGGTTCTTTACCATTAGCACCACCTGTGAAGCCCTGGAAAGTCCTACCCAAAGCTAAAAAATAGCTAAAAAGTCCCAGGAATAACCAAAGCCAATGTCAAAGTCCATTCTCTCTAGTCAGTCACAGGAAAGCCCCTCAGAGCTACAAATTCTTAATTATCCACCACTGAAACTATCTGGAGATTATGTTCCCAGGCCAAGGTAGATTTAGAAGCAGTAAGGGAGAAAGAAGAAGGGGTGCGCCCCATAGACACGTGGAGAGCAGAGAAGAGTGACAGTCAACGGCACTGGATGGGCCAGTCGAGAGGCAGTGTAATGAGTGAAGAAATGGAAAGAGAAAGGGCTCAAGCCAGACAAAAGCATATTCAAATCGCACTTTCATTATCGTGTAGTTGTGTGATCTTAAACAAGTTGAATCACCTCCATGAACCCTAGCCTGGTCATCTGAAACTGGATAAATTTCACCTATTTGTTAATAATGGCCAAGATGCTGTGCAATCAAGTACCTAAGGGTGGCTCACAGTGGTATATGCTTAACCTCATTACTTGCATCAATCTTCGAGTAACACCCAGCAACACACTGCAATAATTAACCCTCAAAAGAATACCTCTGTCCTGTATAAACAACACTGAGCTAGATTCAGAAATTAACAAAGTAGAAATAATGGAATACATAGAGATATTCAGAAAACCCAACTATCAGAATGGTAAGTTTCTCCAAAAAGACAACAGAAAGGCAAAATCATAGTATGTAGCAGATTTAAGAGCATCTCCCTCCACATGTCAAAACATGAATGTACTCTTCTTTCTACATGCACATGTGCGTGCATGCTCAATTATGTTAGACTCTTTGCCACCCATGGACAACAGTCCACCAGGCTCCTCTGTCTATGGAATTTTCCAGGCAAGAATACTGGAGTGGGTTGCAATTTCCTACCTCAGCGGATCTTCCCAACCCAGGGATCGAATCCATGTTTCTTTTGTTTTCTGCATTCTGCAGGTGGATTCTTTACCACTGTCCCATTCCAGAAGCCCATTCATTTATAGACACTTCATCAAAATCTAAATAATGATATAAGACCAGATTCCATTTACACTGTATTTACAAAACTAAACAGATTCTTAAAAGTTTATATTTTGAGGACATGGGAATTTGGCATGTTCTATACACTACTGAACATAATATAAAATGACACCACTATTCTAGAAGGCAATGTATGAAATATATCTGACATCTTAAACATGGCTACTTTAGGGCACACTATGTGCAAATCTAGGAATTTATACTAAGACAGGTAAGGATAGACAAGAACTCAGAGACATCAGCAGAACTGCTTCACAGCATTTTGCATAATAGCAACAACTAAAAACACTCTGAATGCCCAATAAAAAGAAACTGGATAAACTGTAATATAACCATAAAACAAAACTGCATGAAAGTTAAACTCATGTCAGAAAAGTAGATTTATCACTTATAAAGAATACTTAACACATTAAGGCAATTTGTGAAAAAGTAGAGTATGATCCCAATTTCTATAATTCTATGCATTATGCAAATATGCATATATAAATATGTGTGCATTATATAAATATAGAAAGTATTAACAGCAATTATTTCTAAGTTGTAGAATTATAGCTAAAGTATTTTTTTTTGCTTATATATATTCTGTAGTAACCACAGTGTTTCTTATGCAATAGATACACAAATTAATTTTTTATGACCTTCAAAAAAAATCAGATTCCATCAGGTTTAGGTCAATTTCCTGTGTCTCCTACATTTTAAGGATAAAGAAAAGGACACCAGCTTTCAGGTAGGTAAATTTTCTCATTATCTATGAAATGCATACAATCCGAAAGTTTAATAATCCTTACCATTCCTCGTTTACTAGTAAAAAGTTTGAGGTTCAGAAAGTTTAACTTTCTAGAAAGTTACAGAACCATCCACATGAAACAGACACCGAAAACGTACAGTATTTTACAAGCCCTCAGTAAGAGAATGTCTCAACTGCATCAGACACAGAGTGTTTCTAAACTAAAACAAATTAAGTTGTCTTCCATCTGTGTGACTTCAAAAATAATCCCCCACTGTTAAGGGTACGAAAAAGTTAACTCAGTAAACAAAAAATGTTGAATTAATTTTTTCAATGTTCCTGAAAATAAGAGACTTGTGTCTGAACACGTAACGATTGTGCATGTTTGTGTGTGTATGCGTGCATGTATTAGAGAGAAAGAGAGAAAATGTACTCTAAATGTTAATAACATGAAAAGTTATCTGTAAATGGCTTCAGCATTTCTCCTGACATTTTCATGAACATAATAAAATGCTCATACTGTATATACTATCTACCTCAGCATCAACAATGAAAAACATCTGATCACTGTGAACTAAAATTTTCCATTAGCAGTTTATATATCCATATAAATCTAAGACCTCTCCTAAGAAATTAAAACAAAAAGTTCTTCCACCAGTTTTAAACTGAAAAAAGAAATTCTTAGCAGGGATTTTTCCGTCTATGGGATGACCCAGAGGGATGGGATAGGGAGGGAGGTGGGAGGGGTGGGTTCAGGATGGGGAACACATGTAAATCCATGGCTGATTCATGTCAATGTATGGCAAAAACCACTACAATATTGTAAAGTAAT